CTTTCCCTCCCTCCCTCCCTCTCTCCCTCCCTCCCTCTCTCCCTCCCTTCCTTCCTTCCTTCCTTCCCTCCCCTTCCCTTCCTTTCCTTTCCTTCCTACCTCAGCTGGGACACGTAGAAACCAGAAAGCCCTCTCTAAGCAATGGTGGACATTCCCAGTACACACATATAAAGGATGCATGGTAAATATGTACTGATTTTACTCAGTAGTAGTATGGAGTTCTGCCCATTTTACTTCAAGCATCCCACTTAAGGTACTTTTCTGAAGTTATCAGAAGAACAGTGGGAAACTGGGCCTTGAACTTCGTAAGAACTAAAGGAATATTTGTTGATTGATTCCTTTGGTGATTATGAGGGCCTTTCTTCTGTATATCAAGGAGCATTTTCAGCTCAGTTCAGTATAAGAATGTATCGAGTGACTTATGTACTGAGGCTTTGGGTATGCTTCTGTATGGCTACAAGGAAGTAGAAGACTTGAGCTGTGATCTGAAAGAACTTAGTAGTATTCTAGAGCAGTGGTTTTTCAGCTGGGACAATTTTTGTTCCCCAAGGGACATTTGATAATGCCTGTAGACTTCTTTGGTTTTATCTGTGGAGATGCTGCTGGCATCTAGTGGGTAGAGGCTAGGGATGCTGCTAAACATCCTACAGTGTACAGATCCACCCCCACCAAAAAAAAAACCAACCCAGAGAATCAACCAGCCCAGAATATCACTAGTGCCAAGGTTTAAGAAATCCTGCTCTAAAAGGATAAGACTAACAAATAGAACTGGAACTTTGAGGTTGGAAGGCCACACTGCTACTTTTTTTTTAACATCTTTATTGGAGTATAATTGCTTTACAATGGTGTGTTAGTTTCTGCTGTATAACAAAGTGAATCAGCTGTACATATACATATATCTCCATATCTCCGCCCTCTCGCGTCTCCCTCCCATCCTCCCTATCCCACCCCTCTAGGTGGTCACAAAGCACTGAGCTGATCTCCCTGTGCTAGGCAGCTGCTTACCACTAGCTATCTGTTTTACATTTGGTATTGTATATATGTCCATGCCACTCTCTCACTTCTTCCAAGCTTACCTTTCCCCCTCCCTGTGTCCTCAAGTCCATTCTCTACGTCTGCGTCTTTATTCCTGTCCTGCCCCTAGGTTCTTCAGAACCATTTTTGTTTGTTTGTTTTTAGATTCCGTATATATTACATTGCTACTTAATAGCAGAGCGAGGACTTGGACTAGGGTGAAGCAAACAAGGCACTGGGCACAAACTTAAGCTTAGTTCACCCTATTCTAATGGGGCCATTTAGAGTCAAATGGTATTATATGACAGAATATTTGATCTAGCTTCATGTCCCACAAATCCTAATTCATAGCAGTGTGTGATCATTGTATGTTGGGCAGGGACAGTTCTAAGACAGTAATGGATTTTTATGGTGGTGTCTTTCTACAGGTTGATATGGCAGACCTCTCTCCAGAGGAGCAATGGAGGTAAGTGTGACAGTGTGGGCCCCTCTTGGTGGGAACTATAGATTAATCCTACTAATAGAGTTGTATATCTACCCTTTTTGCTTCCTTTTCTGTGGCAGGCAGTGACCTATGACCAGTAGGACAGGTCATTTGAGATCTTTCCCAGTATTTGGGTCACTCCTGGGTAGCTCCCTCAGTCCTTGGGAGTAAATAGATTATTGCACTAAACCACCCATCTGGGTTTTGAATACTAGTTCTGCCATTTCCTAGCAATGTGATCTTGGGCAAGTTACTTAACTTCACACTACCTCAGTTTTCCCAATTTGTAAAATGAGGATCATAACAGTTGTTGTGAAGATTAACATGTATGAAATTCTTAGAACAGTGCCTGGCATGTGGTAAACTTCCAGTGAGTGTTACCTGCTTTAAGGATGATTATCATCGTTAACATCATCATTATCCGTGAAACAGGGCAGAGAGCGCTGTTTGAGAAAATGCGAGATGTGTCTTCTGATCTCAACTCTGCTACTAACTTGCTTTGTAACCAGAGTGAGTCAACAAATATTTTATTGTCATTATTTCTCATTGGTAGAGGAGTTTCAAAAGTGCTTGCCCCACAAACTTTATAAGGTAACTGACCAGTGAGCTGAAATCAAGTAAAAGTTTAATAGTGAGAAAAAAACACCTTGTTTAGATTAAAACTATTGATTATAAAAAATGTAGAATGGTAAAGATATCAACTCATATGACAGGCCCAGCAAGATTTTAGGTGACTTTAAGCTTAATATGCACCAGCTGTGTACCTAAGCTACCAAAATACTCTACAGTTTGAGAAGATGTTCATTAAAAATATACTGTCTGCCTTAAGGGAAGTGACAGTGCTACTGTGTTCTGCTTTGCTGAGTCCACATTGATTTTGTTGTAAACACTGCATATGAAGATCTTTAGCTAGATATGTCTAGAAGAAGGCAATCAGGATTAATGGTCTTCACATTATGTTATATGCATCGTGTATAAAGATCTAGAACTGTTAACCTAAAAGGGCCCAGGAAAATGATGGTAGAAACAGGATTGGTTTTGCTTTTTTAAATAATATTATGATAAATATTTGAAGGGGCAGCATTGGGAAAGAGAGTGCATATGTTCCAGAGTGTAGGATTAGGTCCAAAGGATTGAAGCTGTAGTAAGATAATTTTGTCTCATTATCAGAAACATTGTTAATAATCGTGGTATATTGTGAGGCACAGAGCTTCCTGCTTCTTAAAGCTTTGGAATTTTATTCCTTCATAAGCACATATGAGCTCCTACAATGTGTCAGACACTGCTGGTTCTAGAATAGATTATTTTAAGAGGCATGTATTCTCAGCCAGTGGAGGTATTCAAACAAAGGATTGCAAAAATAATTTTTGTGTTGAGTGGTAACTTGACCTAGGTGACTTCTGGTTTTTTCTCAGTCCTTTCTTTGATTACTTGTTGTACACATCCATTCAGTTATATACTGTCTGAGAACAAGAAACTTATCTCTTATTATCTTTATAACTCTCCACAATCCTTGGGAGTTTAAAATATCCTTTGCCCTTTTAGTTTAGCTTATCCTCACAACAACCCTATGAGGGAGGCAGAAAAGATAAGGACTCCTTTTGATGGATGAAGAAATTGTGATGTAGAGATGTAAATTTTCTTTGCTAAGGCCACATAGGTTGTGTCTGAACCTAAGTTTCTGACTCATACCCCTATTATATTTTGTCAGATTCTGTCACCTAGGATAAAGTTTTATGTAAGGTGAACCCTTAGGTGCTGTGACTGCCAGGCTGACTGACATTTGGCTCCCACCAAGTTTCCCCCCTCCTAACATTTTATTATGAAAAATCTCAAATATACAGAAAAGTTGAAAGAATTGTACAGTGAACACCCTTGTATCCACCACCTAGATTCTACAACTAACTTTTTGCTATATTTTATGATTTGTCTATCCATAATGCCTCCCACTGGGTTCTTCTTGCTTAGTCTCTCATTGCCCTTGGGAATTCCATGAAGATACCATTTATGTTGTCCTTTCCCTTTCTCCCTAATACCCCTGGGTATGGAGAACTTGCACAAAAGCTCCTGACTACGGGTTACATTTGTACTTAGTTTCCTAATTCCTTCTTTATTCCTCTCCCTTGGCTGTAGGAGTGACTTTTCTTTCCTGTTCTCAGAGGAAGCTTTTTGCCTATACTGGCCAAGGGAATCACTTGTTGCCAATCCTTGGGACCAGAGAATGCCAGCCTTTAAACTCTTAGATTAAATAAGAGTTTCCAGTTGTACTCTCCTTGAGCCCTTGAAGAGTCTATTTACCTGTGGATACTGATAATGAAGGCACTGTTGGAATAGTGTAAAATTGAAGCACTACTGAAGTTCAGATTTTTCAGACTTTAGTCTTTAGGATCTCTGGTCCTGGCAGAGAGGGTAGGACAAATAAAGCAAGACTTTAACCCTGGAATTTGCACATATTTGCAATATTACTCCTTTATTGGTATCATAAATATCATTGAATAAGAGTATGAGCCTTTATGGCTGTGACCTCTCTGGGTTACTTTCTTGTTCCAGTGACAGGTTGAAGTAGGACTGAAATGGAAAGGTATCAGCTGTTTTTAACATTGGGGCTGGGCAGCAGACCACCCACCTTTAGCCCCAATACCTAACCTTGATGACTAGGGCCCATAGAACCCCTGTTCTATCCCAAAATGCCTGTCCTCTAGGGCATGTGTGTTTCTAGCCCATATTTCGTACAGTACAAGAGTGTGTTCTACGCTATGGACCAGTGAGATATCCCTGGAAAGCACTGCTCCTTTACCGCCACACCATCCCTGACCTAGCTCACCCCATCTGTTTGGCTTTCAGGGTCGAGCACGCACGCATGCATGCCAAACACCGCGGCCACGAAGCCATGCACGCTGAAATGGTCCTCATCCTCATCGCTACCTTGGTGGTGGCCCAGCTGCTCCTGGTACAGTGGAAACAGAGGCACCCCCGCTCCTACAATGTAAGCCACTTTGCTCATTTTTTTGTTTGCCAGTCATCAAGAGACCCTTCTTAAGTATTCTAGGGTCCAGCCTAACCCAGGCCACATGTAGGCAAGGAATAGATAATAATACTAAACTTTATGTGTGAATGGTGAATAGTGTATGTTGGGTGTGTGTTTAAGGGACAGGCAATTCAGATTGTGAAAACTGGGAAAGAACCTGAATGTACTTTCATGGCCAGAAAATGTAGATCCTCCCTTTTAACATTTTGGGATAGATTCATGAAGGAGCTGTTCATTAGGAACTATTCACATAGAGGGAGAGATGATCACTTGATTGGGAAGACCAAGCCTCCAATGAATCTTTAGATTAATATTTTGAAAATGCAGTAATAAAGAGGAGGCAATGTAACAGGTGGTAAGAAGGCAGGGTCAGAGTTATAGAGACCTAAAAATGCAGTTACAGAGGAAATAAGGAACAAAAACATAAAATGTACAGAAAACATACAGCTAAATGGCAGAAGTAAATCCTTCCTTATTACTTTAAATGTAAATGGATTAAATTCTCCTATTAAAAAGCAGAGATTGTTAGATTGATTTAAAAAACCACATTATCCATGTTTATACTGTCTATAAGATACTCACTTTAGATATAAAGAAACAAGAGATAAAAGTAAAAGGTTGGGGCTTTGCTGGTGGTTCAGTGGTTAAGAATCTGCCTGCCAATGCAGGGAACATGGGTTTGATCCCTGGTCTGGGAAGATCCCACTAAGCCCATGTGCCCCAACTACTGAGCCTGCACTCTAAAGCCCGCGAGCCAACTACTGAGCCTGCGAGCCACAACTACTGAAGCCCGCACACCTAGAGCCCATGCTCCACAACAAGAGAAGCCACCACAACAAAGAGTAGCCCCCGCTCGCTGCAAATAGAGAAAGCCCGCAAACAGCAACAAAGACCCAATGCAGCCAAAGATAAATAAATAAATAATATTAAAAAAAAAAAAGTAAAAGGATGGAAAACAATATTTCATGCAAATGATAACCAAGAAAGAGCTGGTGGCTCTTAAATGTCAGACAAAATAGCCTTTAAATCAAAAAAGGTTACGTGAGATAAAGAAGGACATTACATATTGATAAAAGGTTCATTACAGCCAGAAGATGTAACAGTTATAAACATATATGTACCTAACAAAGGAACTCCCAAATATGTGAAGCAAAAATTGACAAAATTGAAGGAAGAAACAGATGGTTCTACAATAATAGTTGGAGAGTTCAGTACCCCACTTTCAGTAATGGATAGAATAACCAGGTAGATCAACAGGTAAAAGAGGACTTGAACAACATTATAAACCAATTAGACCTAACAGACATATACAGCATACTCCACCCAACAACAGCAGAATACATGTTCTTCTCAAGTACACATGGCCCATTCTCCAAGATAGACTATATGTTGGACCACAAAATAAGCTTCAGTAAATTAAAAAACATTGAAATCATAGATGCAACTACTCTGGATTAGGACACGGCAGGTAGTATACTGGATTCTTTTACAACTATTATCTTAGAAGTATTTAACCTTTTCAAGTACAACCCTTTTTTAACAAAAAACTTGGCAAACATCCATGTGATAATAGTTGTACTTTGAAAGAATACAAAAACACATATAGTAGTAACAATAGCTAACATTTATTGAATTTTTACTATGCCAGTCACTGTTCTAAGCACTTTACATATATAACTCATTTAGTCCTCACAGTAACCCAATAAATACTGTTTTCTCCAGTTACAGATGAGGAACTGAGGCAGAAAGGCTAAGTAACTTGCTCCACTGGTAAAATCATTATTTGAACCAAGACAATTTTACTCCAGGGCTTTTAGTCTTAATCCCTAAATGATTCTTTTTCTCTAGTATGTGCTTTTTCGGACCTCTTGAAATAGGGCCAAAGATGCCCAGAGGTCTGTAGCCCACAGGATGGGAACTGCTACACTATCTCATTTAACCCTCCTAATAGCCCATGATGTAAGTACTATGGACAAACTGAGGCCCAGAGAGTTCAGGCATGAAGGGGGGATACTAATAGAGCCAGGATTTAAACCCAAGTCTTCTGTTTCATATTTCATAATTTCTACTATACCATATGGTGCTTCTGGAAAGGATTTTCCATCAAGGGAACCAAGGGATAATATGGAGCATAGGCAGAAGAGAGACTAATCTTTGCCCTTGAGCTGGCACCTGTTCTAGACATTACTGGCCTATAGCTACCTCATGTGTTGTCATGCACTGCAAGTAGAGACATCTGTACCTTCAGGTCATAGTGCATGGAATGACCACATGGCACCAAGGCTTTTTGAACTAGGCACCATCCAGCAGGCTGAGCCATCTGGGGTGAGGCTTCATATCTGGACCCTGCTCGTGCTTCACCCTGCCATCTGAGATAAGTCACTTGTTTTTCAGTGTGTGCTTATAGTACCTGCTCTATAAAATGGGGATTTATCAGGATGGTTTAATTGAGCCTGGAAAATATAAAAAATCATAAACCAAATGTAGAGAGACCCCTTGGAATTTCTGTGCTTGAATTTAGAAATAATTATATGTTGTTGGCTAATCTGCAGAGATTTCTGAAAACCTCTGAAGAAGTGAGGATGCATAATGTACTACAGTGGTTTTCAGTATGTACTTTTTTAAAAGGCTGTGGAGTCCTTTCTTCAAATGGTATCTTAAGGAAAAACCCAGTGTAGAAAAAAAGAGGATGCTCTTCTTGGGCTGGTAACCCTGACCCCTCCGCTTTCTCAGGAACATCTATAGGACACATCAGAGTGTTAGAAAACCACTGATGTGTCATTCATTCATTAATCTTTTTTTTTTTTTTTTTGGGGTACGTGGGCCTCTCACTGTTTTGGCCTCTCCCGTTGTGGAGTACAGGCTCTGGACGCGCAGGCTCAGCGGCCATGGCTCACGGGCCTACCCGCTCCGTGGCATGTGGGATATTCCCGGACTGGGGCACGAACCCACGTCCCCTGCATTGGCAGGCAGACTCTCAACCACTGCGCCAC